CCGATCCATGAGACTCTCTCATCATTGATGTTTCTGTCTCTCTCTCCCCTGTCCCTTCCTCTCTGCAGTCAAATAAAAATAAATAAATATTACTCACAATTTGGGTGTCCTTGGATATTTTCAGTTGAAAATTCTCACACACACAAAAAAGATTTTAAAGCATCTATAGCCGCTTATGGCATACAAAGGGTTAACACAGCTCCACTCAACCCCACAGGGGGGGAGCTGGCATCACACCCATTTTACAGACAAGGGAACTGAGGCTCCCAGAAGAGGATGGGCTCTGGAATCTAGAGTCAGGGGCCTTGGTTTCAGTCCTGACCGTCACCTTCGAGTGGGGTGACCTTGAGACCTCTGAGCATCAATGTGTCCCCCTGCACCATAGGGATCATAACAGTACCCATCTCATTGAGTTTCCAGGACAATTAAGTGAATACATTAAACAGCAGTGCCAGGTGCCCCTCAGGGAATAGTCAATAATACCGTGCCCGGCTGGTGTGGCTCAGCGGCTGAGCGTCGACCTGTGAACCAAGAGGTCACGGTTCAATTAACCCGGTCGGGGCACATGCCTGGGTTGCCGGCTCGATCCCCAGAGTGGGGCGTGCAGGAGGCGGCCGATCAATGATTCTCTCTCATCATTGATGTTTCTCTCTCTCTCTCTCCCTATCCCTTCCTCTCTGAAATCCATAAAAATATATTTTAAAAAATAATAATAGTGTCATAACTTGGCACAGTGACAGATGGTTACTAGACTTGAACCACTATGCTGTAATGTCAACTCTAATTAGAAATATTTTTTCACAAAGCAGTGCCAGCCATTGTTCGGGAAAAGGGAGCCACAGCCGAAACCGGTTTGGCTCAGTGGATAGAGCGTCGGCCTGCGGACTGAAGGGTCCCGGGTTCGATTCCGGTCAAGGGCATGTACCTGGGTTGCGGACACATCCCCAGTGGGAGATGTGCAGGAGGCAGCTGATCGATGTTTCTCTCTCATCGATGTTTCTAGCTCTCTATCTCTCTCCCTTCCTCTCTGTAAAAAATCAATAAAATATATTTTAAAAAAAAATGGGGGAGCCACATGTGAACTGTTCTCACTACGACAGTCACCTTGCTGGGAAACCAGGGCCGCCTGGCCTGCCGTGTTTTGAAGAATGAAGGAGTAGGAGTTGCCTGCCCTCGGAATCAGGCAGGGCTCGGGGAGGAGAGGAAAGGGCATGCCGGGCGGAGGGCACAGCCTAGGGCCGAGGCAAAGGGGTGGCCACGTGGCCAGCGGTACCCCTCAGCCTGCCGTTCTGGCTCTGTCCCCCTCATTGTCCTCGGGGAGCCGGCTGAGTGGCTCCTAATGTTTCCATTTGCTTTTGGCTGCAGGTTGGGATCTGTTTTTAGCTTCCCTGGCTGGTCACACTCCCCCCCACCCCCCTTCCTGCTGGCTCTCTTGTTTGCTGTGGTAGAATAATGTTCCCGGACTTCCTGAGTTGCTTGTTTGAAGTCAGCCGTATCGATTGAATCTGTGTGTACGCAGCCTGAGATGCTCTGAGACCTGCCCCTCTCCAGTGGGCCGGGGTCTCGGAAAACCCTGGGGTGGGGGGTGCAGGGTGGGGGGGCGGGGGAAGGAAGCGAGGCTGGGCTCCCTTGGAAGATAAGTGGGTGATTTTAAGGCCCCAACACTGGCTTTTCCTCTTCTGGGCCGTGAGGGTTTGGGCGGCCGCAGTCGCCTCTCTGGGCTTTGTTCCTCTGAAGAACGAGGAGAGGAACATTCTCGATTGCATAGGGCTGTTGGGAAGGCTCAGTTCCACTTGCTCATTCAACATCTACTGATTTATTTATTAAATATATTTCTATTGATTTCAGAGAGGAAGGGAGAGGGAAGGAGAAGGGGGAACATCAAGGATAAGAATCACTGATCGGCTGCCTCCTGCACGCCCCCTACTAGGGATCCAGCCTGCAACCTGGGCTTGTGCCCTGACCGGGAATGCCTGTTTCTTAGGTTGACGCTCAAACCACTGCGCCACACCGGCCGGGCTCGACATCTATTTATTGAGCACCTACGAGGTGTCAGGCACTGTTCTAGTCTCGGGCAGTCTCAGGAGAATAAGGCAAAGTCCTCATCTTCAGGAGAGTGATAACCCGCTGATGGTTACAGACAACAGGAACTGTCCCCTCTGCCAGGTGACGAGGGGCAGTATGAGAACGCAGCGGGCAAGGGCTTGGCAGGACCGGGGCTTCTGTGGTCAATAGGGGTGGGCACAGAAGAGAGGATGAGAAAGTGAGCCTGGGTAAAGGAGATCCAGGCAGAAGGAACCACTTGTGCAAAAGGCCCTGGGGCAGGACCTGCCCGGGATGCTGGAAGGAGAGCCAGGAAGCCGGTGATGGGGGATGAGGGAGGATGAGCATAAGAGAAGAGGCCTTGGAGGGATGGACGCCAAATTACACAGCACCTTGTCAACAGGGGCTGAGAGTGAGTGCCTGGCACCCCCAAGGGCCTGGCTGGACTAGGGACCCTGTGGTTGAAGGAGACCCCAGCTGCCCACCTCAGACCAGTGCCTCACTCACCACCTTCAGCTGGCCTTTACTTCTGGGATGCTCAGGAGGCAGATCCAGGCGAGGGGGCGGATTCAGGTGAGGGGGCAGGTCCGGGTGAGGGGGCAGTGGGGGGGCTGAGGGGACCACCTAGGGGAGACAGAGGGTTATGTCTTCCTGCCCGGCGTCCCAGCACCAGGCCTGTTCCAGACATTGCAGAAATAATGGAGAATAAGGCAGAGTCCTAACCCTCAGGAGGGTTCAGACCGGAGGAGCCACAGTCCCAGGGGAACAGGCCCCTAGGACTCCAGAATCCTGTCACCAGCCCCTCCTCCCTCAGACCCAGGAGTCTGGCCCCCCAGCCCCCTTCTCCCTCGGGCCCCGGAATTTTAGTTCCAGCTCCCGCCTGGCCCTGCTTACCTGCCCCAGCTCTTCCTCGCCGTTTTCCTGGCCATCGCTGCTCCCTGAGTCCTCAGCAGTGGCCCTGGCTTCCGCTGGCCTCCCTTGGGAGCGATGGATACTCACGACCTCTCGGCCCTTGATCTGGCTTCGGCAGAAGGGGCAGGTCTGGCTGTCTGATTGCTGGGGGTGGCGGGGGAGGGAGTCAGGGTCTCCCGGTTCTTCTCCAAGTCCTCTGGGACCACAAGGGCCTTCATCTCCAGCAGAGTGAGGTGGGGAGGACAGACAGAGGGAGGCCCATGGGGAGGAGGGAGGAGGGAGCCATGGAGAGAGATGCAGGACAGGAAGGAGGGACTGGACCAGAGCCCGAGGCCAGGGGGGCGCACAAATGGGGAGCCCAGTGGAGCCAGGGTGTGGGCCCCAGCTATGGACGCTGATGCTATGGGCGAGGAAGGCCTGAGACACTCGCCTAGGCCCCCAGAGACCCGCCCCCCCACCGGGGCCAGTGTTGTGGCTGGACCAGCCCTGGTGGTTCTTATTATGGCCGCAGGATGCACCTCAGCAAAAGCCATCAGGGAACTTGGGAGGACGAGATTCATTACTCAGATCCTGGAGGGCACGCGGCATGCCCAAGGCCACTCGAGGAGGTCGCGGGAGGGCGCATGGACCTGGGGTCTGCCTCTCTTAGGGGCCAAGTGGGGTGGTTAGGGTTTGGTGGGTTCACTTTTCTTTTGTTGTTGTTAATCCTCACCAGAGGGTATTTTTTTCCATTGGGTTTTAGAGAGAGTGGAAGGGAGAGAGAGAGACAGAGAGAGAAACATTGATGTGAGAGAGAGTCATCGATTGGTTGCCCCTCACATGTGCAACCAATGTGTATGCGCCCTTGACGAGAATCTAACCACTGACCCACACTGGCTAGGGCAAGGTTCACTTAAAAAAATTTTTTTTTAAATATATTTTATTGATTTTTTACAGAGAGGAAGGGAGAGAGATAGAGAGTTAGAAACATCGATGAGAGAGAAACATCGATCAGCTGCCTCCTGCACATCTCCTACTGGGGATGTGCCCGCAACCCAGGTACATGCCCTTGACCGGAATCGAACCTGGGACCTTTCAGTCCGCAGGCCGACGCTCCATCCACTGAGCCAAACCGGTTTCGGCGACTTAAAATTTTTTTAAAAAATTGATTTCAGAGAGGAAGGGAGAGGGAGAGAGAAACATCAATGATGAGAGAGAATCATGGATTGGCTGCCTCTTGCGCATCCCCACTGGGGATCAAGCCCCCCTGGTTCAAAGGTCGACGCTCAGTCACTGAGCCACACCGGTTGGGCAAGGGTTCACTTTTCATTGGTGAATTTCAAGCATAAGAGGGGCCCTGGGCGGGTGGCACAGTTGGCTGGAGCATCGTCCCATACACCAAAAAGGTTTCAGGTCCCACCTGGTTAGGGTATATACCTGGGTTGTCGGCTTGATCCCAGCTCCATCCCTCGGGGGCACAAGTAGGCAACTCATCAATGTTTCTTTCTCAAATCAATTTTTTAAAAACCATATCCTCAAGTGAGGATTAAAAAGAAAAAATCATAGGAGCAGGAATTAGGGTGTAGAAAGGAAAAAGCCCGAGTCACTTAAGTAGGCTACCTAGGGCTTTCTACTGGGGAACTTCAGCCCAGCCGGCGTGGCTCAATGGTTGAGCTTTGATCTATGAACCAGGAGGCCACAGTTCGATTCCTAGTCAGGGCACATGCCCAGGTTGCGGGCTCGATCCCCAGTGGGGGGCATGCAGGAGGCAGCTGATCCATGATTCTCTCTCATTGATGTTTCTATCTTGCTCTCCCTTTCCTTTCCTCTCTCTCTGAAATCCATAACAAATTCTATATAATAAAAGCCTAATATGCTAAGTGTCCGGTCCTCCGTTCAACCAATCAAAGCGTAATATGCTAATGATATGCTAAGGCTGTTCAACCACTCACTATGATGTGCACTGACCACCAGGGAGCAGACAGTCAACAGGTTGACCAGTCACTATGAAGTGCACTGCAGAGGGCAGACGCTCCAACAGGTAGGATAGCTTGCTGCTGGGGTCCAGCTGATTGGGACTGAGCAAGAGAGGCTGGACATGCCCTGGAGCCCTCCCACGGCCCCTCAACACCGTTGGACCCCCATGCCGGGCCCGCCCCCACCCGTGCACAAATTCGTGCACCAGGCCTCTAGTATTAAATAAATAAATAAAATAAAGGGGAACTTCATGGGTGGGGGCAGCCTGGTTCCTTATCTCCTAGTTTTGCTGTGTCATATATCTGGCAATTTGTTTATTGGAGATGGGTATCTTTGAAATGGATGACTCAGCTTAATGTCAGGCATTTACATTACAGTAAAAAGTAGGTGATGTCATGCACCAGCCTCAGCTCCCCTCCCCAAGGGGCCTTCCCTGAGGGCTTCAGGGCTTGGACCCTCACTGTGGGCCTGGGAGGTGACCAGGGTCAGCTCTGTTCTCCAGAGACGAGGCCGAGGCTCAGAGAGGTGAAGCCACTAGCCCCAGGTTGCCCAGCGAGGGAAGGGAGGAGCTCTTTCCATGAATAATGTAGCTGGAGAAGGAGAAGCAGAGGTGACAGCCGCAGAGTGAGACAGAGACAGACACACAGACACAGACAGCCAGGCTCCAGGCCCTCGCCCCTGAGTGAGTCCCCGCTTTCTTGGGCCTCAGTTTTCCCATCTGATCCCTGAGGCATAGGGGAGACCCTTCAGGAGAGGGGAGACCCACCTGCCAGGTGGCCAGGCAGCGGCTACACAGCAGGTGCCCACAGGGCTCGATCTTCACGTCCTTGTTGGCTCAGCACAGATCTTACAGAGCTCGAACGTGAGTCATGGCCCAGTACAGCTGCAGCTG